TCTAATGGTTCATCTAGTTCAATAAGCGCATGTTACATTGTCGCCTTTTTGGGAAATATACTGTGCTCCAACCTGATTAGATCCACTTTATGAAGAAGGATGCAGAAAACCCAGGAGAGAGTGCGAAATTATTTATAGTATTTATGCACTGGCATTGATGCTGCTAAACAATTTTCAAATCTTGCGTTTTAGGCCTAAGGCATACCTCGCGGGATTCCGGGCGCTACGCGATTTGGCACAACAGCGACTCTTCGTTATTCGTTGCTAATGCGATGCCTTTGGTCAGAACTTGATGCGTTTGCAACGACTTACACAAGCAAATATGCGTTCAAGAAGCGCGCACGATAGATTTGTAGTAATCTGGCAGATCCCCAAGTCGCGTGAAAGTGGCGATTCTGCGGAATCGCGTAAGGCCTAAGGCATACCTCACGCGATTTCGCGAAATCGCCACATCCTCGCGACTTGGCGATTTGCCAGATGTCTAGAGATTAAGCATGCGAGGCTCTCACTTGCATGGGTGCGTAGATTCCGTAAATTGTAATAAACGCAGCAAGTCTGGCTCAAGCAAAGTACGTTGACGACCAGCTATGGAGAGTCGTTGCAATGCCAAATCGCGCGGCGACTAAAATCGCGTGAGGTATGCCTTAGGCCTAAGGTATGCCTTAGGCCTTACGATGTTATGGAGCTTTGATCTCAAAGACCGTAGGATTTTGCAAACTGGAATTAAGAGTTTCTCAAACTATTGTATATGCTCATATGGCCCTCTCTAAAGTCGTCACACTCTCATGTTTCTCATTTACTCTACAATTGCACCCTCTGGAATTGGCTCACACTTCGTCCCCGCGCGATTTCTAGTGGCTAGGATTGTCCATAATCTTCCGTAGGCGCATACTCTGCAAGCAAGATTTGGCATGTACGCATAAGATTACGAAAGCCATGCGCCTACGCACTTCAAATCAACGCGCGGTGGATCTGCGGACATTTGGCAAACCGCCATCGTATCGCTGCGATTTTGGAGAAATCGCGCGAGGATGGAGGCCCAAGAGACTTAGATTTCTGCGCTCCCATGGCCAAAAAAGCACCAATATAGTGACTACCATTTTGAAGGCATGAAACAACAACAGAAGATATGAAAAAAAGGGTTCAAAGTACTACTTTACGCAAAGGAATTGGCAACATAGCACTTATTTTTCAACACTTCCCCACATTTCACAATACAAACTTCTTATCAGATCAACGGAAACATCCGTGCGGTGAAGCAAGCCAGTCATTCTTTTTCTTTTTGTGGCCTGAATACCTTGCACTACTTGGAGTTCTACAAAGATTTTCAGTGGACATCAATCAAGGGGTGAGCTGATAACATGATAATCTTTTCTACGTAGCGCAGGCCTTGGCATACCCTCGATACATAGAGCCACGTACTCTGGTAACCTTCACTTTGAGAGCTATGAGGGTACACAACCTTCACCTGAAAAAAAAAACAGAAGTCATTCGGGGCGAAGCCCCGGATGTTATTATTCTGACTACATCGGAACGAATGTTAATGAAACATGTATAGGGAGTAATATCTTTAGCTTATCTTAGCGAAACCTAGAATTTGCGTTTTCATGGCCTTTTTCACGTTAAAAAGAAGGTTTCTGTGAAATTTTCGCCAGAATTCAGGACAAAATTCCTCAGTTAACCTCTTATTTGACCAGAATAGAGTTTCAGAAGTTTAGGAAAGCTGTTGGAGTTAAATAAAAACGAGAAACTGCGCTTAAATTTGCGCAGAGAGTCGCGCACGAAAACGCCAGTTTATCTCGTTAATGAGTGATTTTCAAAGTTTGGGACGTTGTCAGTTCTCCTCGTCGTGTTATGACGATCAGAATGATATATAATGTTGCAGGGTTTCGTTGAGACCCCGCGGAGATCTACTACCAGAGCCAAATGCCCCGTCGGCTCTGGTCTGTCTCCGCTGCTCGTCTGCGTCTCCGCGCGCTGCGCGCTACCTCGCTACCCCATACGCGGGGCGCGGGGCATTTGGCTCTGGTACCCTTTTCTTCGCTGTTTCGAACCGAATTTTAACAAGCTATATATCATTTTGAAGCTCTTGATCTCTATTTTTACGCTGACAACGTCCCAAAACCACATTTTTTGATTTGAACAAGAAATCCGGCAAAAACCTTGTTTTCAAAAATCTCTTGTTTTTTTTCCCAGTTCAACTCATTTCATGCGGTTTTTTCGTGCATTCTACAGATCTTGCTTCTGCTCATTATGCAGACAACCACCCAGCCCCTATCTCTTCGATTGTGGTGAAATTTTCTGCAAAAACCGTGAAAAATGCGTTTTTCTTTGCTTTGCTCTATTTCAGTGCTTTCGCAGCGATTTTTTTCCAGCTTGGGCGATTGTTGCTCAGACCGATAAGTGCAACAATCCAGACAACGTCCCAGGAAACAGGAACGTCAAGGAGGGGGTGAAAATTCAAAGGACGCATCAAAAATCAAAACCCCGTGTTGCGAATTGCTGGTCCTGGAACGAAAACTTGCACTCTGAAAAGCCGCCAAGTGAAGGGCTTCAAACCTTATTGCAGCGCTTTTATCCGGTTTACAGTAGTTTCTTTTGCTTTTTATACCTGTTCTACGTCATTTTCTCTTCTCTGATCTTTTTTAAACAACCTTCACTATTTAGGACGTCAGATGTTCAAACAACCTTCACTTTTGGCGAACTGTCTCTAGACTATCGAAGGTATGGGCCTTGGTAAAATTGCACTGCATACTTCTGCTAAGGCCTAGTTATCCGCCAAATTTTTTTTCGTATATTATGCTCCCAGAAGTATGTACACGTTTTTAATCACTAATAAATCTCTTCCCACAAAATCTTAGTTTAGCTTTAAGCACCATTCAGTAGTAGGCTTCAACTTGGATTTACGGTATAGAGCGAATCAGCCATCGTTCTTCACTGCTATAGGATTGTAGAAATTGTAAAAAATTTGGAGATGGTTTTGAGCCATGAGGCTATGTTGTGTTCCAGAGTGGAAGCTCAACAAGCTGAGAAATTTATCTTTGAGCTAAACCGAGTGGCTAACGATGAATATGAAATTCGCATCACCGTAAGAGCAATTTGATAAACTATGCTAAGCAAAGCAACGACGTTTTTTCAATGTTTTTAAAAAGTGATTAAATCATTTGACATGCACAAAAAACTCTAAAATGTTGTCCAGTGAAATCGGCATGTCTGAAATCATTGCTACACAGCTTTACAGATCTTTGGAACATTTCTTACGGCCATTTCACAATGGCGCTGTTTGCTGGAAATTCCTACTGTAATCTGACAGTAGTCAAGATCGACCATGATTGGCAGTTTCTACAAATCTAAGTAAGTTGACGTCATCTCTCCAAAATCTCAGACAGTCGACGGCATACCTCCGGAGCAGAAATGGCCGAGCCGCGGGGTTTCCCCAGCTGGGGATTGCCACTCGTGCTCCGGAGTCCTCCCATTTTGTGCTCCGGAGACCTCCCAGCGCTCCGGAGCCCTCCTATTTTGTGCTCCGGAGACCTCCCATTTGCGTTCCGGAGCCCTCCCATTTTGGACTCCGGAGTTCTCCCATTTTGTGCTGCGGAAGACTGCCGCGGCATACTGTAACTAGCCCTAATTAAGCTCCAAACCCCAATTTTGTCTCTAAACCCCACCCAAATTAGCTCTAGACCAGCGTCGAGCATGGCATATGACCGCCGAATACGACCCCCCCGGGTAGGAGTTCAGCGCGACCCTCAACCCCGTTCTTTACCCCCTCCCTCTCCCCCCTAGCGTTTGTGGATAGAAGACAGTAGATTGAAGAGACAAGACATTTATTTCAAATTAATTGCAAACAATCTCCAAATTGCACAAAACTTAGCAGCTACAAAACGGACAACACCGACAACAGTTGCCGGCAATCTATGGCCGTACTCTAAGCGAAAACATAAGCGAAGTAAGTGTAGTGAGTTAGATTGCTTGGAAAAACACAGCGCAAAACCTTTTGTCACAAAACCTTTGAGTGCTGATATCTGCATTGCAACGCAAAACAATGAGGAAACTCGCACAGAATAGGTCTCGGTTGAGAAATGAGGTACACGATGTAATACGAAACAGACATCACAACAGCGAAGAAAAGCAATGATGATGCTACTGAAAGCCACCCCGCTCGCCCTGAGTGTACTGCTAGAGAAAACAGCGAAAGCAAACGTCTACCGTTTAGGAAATGAGATACTGACTAATCATCGTGTGATCTTCAGCTTCGCAAATTCATGTGACACATGGGTTAGTGGTTGACTCAGTAACAGCGTCTTCGATGAAATGAAACATGTGGCCGTATTCATCAACGAACCCAGTAGGTTCCGGAACCCACTGGGTTAGTGCATTTGATGGATATCGATTCTACCCTGGAGTAGAATCGATATTCATCAAATGCACTAACCCAACGGGTTTCGGAACCCATTGGGTTCGTTGATGAATACGGCCACTGAGGACATTTTGATGTGGTTATCGTTAAGGAACTAAGTATTGGTAGTTTTGAAGTTGCATCCTATTATTAATCTTTATGGAGATCAACCTGAATCGCTTCATTTATCTGTCAAGAGTACACAATAAACAGATAATTGAAGCCATTCAGGTTGATCCCCATAAAGATTGGCAATAGGATGCAACTTCAAAACTATCAATACTTACTTCCTTAACACATTGACAACCGCTTGACACACATGGTGTGTCAAGGCTTGACACACCATGTGTATCGTTAAAATGCCTATTATTTTGTGTTAAACCCACTCCGCGAGTTTTCTTTTGTGCTGGATTTAGACACAACCTTTACTGTTTTTGCCAGCATTCCAGAGTTACTGTAGGTGTACTGTAGATAAAATTGCGCGTGATTTTATCTAAAAAATGTTGACCGGCCGGCGAAACGCCTTGGTCGTCAATGTGTTAACGATGACCACATCAAATTGTCCTCAGGTTTCATTTCATCGAAGACGCTGTTATTGACTTTAAAGCTGCGAATAAGCGCTATAGCAGATCATGTCGAACCCCTCAGAAATAGGATGGAACTCTAAAACAAACAGTACCTAAACAAAATCTCCTAGATTCAAAACATGCCCAAGATGAGTACTCGTTGAGGGCGTTGGGTGTTACACATACCCACCTAAATCTTTGAAGATTATGTCCATGAATAGCAATTTCTAAACAGGCGATTCATTCACAGCGTACTTGATGACTTTATACAAGACTAACATCCCATATCCATGACCAGCCTGTAACAGTACGCAATTGCGACTGAAACTCGGGCCCTGGCCAGACTTCGCTCAAAAGCGCCCAAAAGCGCCCAATTTTCTCTAATGTCTCTTCACCTTTTCGTGTGAAGAGTGAGGAGAGGTTAGAGAAGTTTGGACGCTTTTGAGCGCTTTTGGGCGCTTTTGTGCAAAGTCTGGCTAGGCCTCAAACTTTCTCTCGAAGTTATCAACCGTTTACAAATCGAGGGCTAGGGTTCGAGAAGATTTCGGTCAACCACAAAAAATGATTCCCGCCAGATTGTTGTACTAAAAACAAAAATGAATGGAATAACTTTGCAAAAGCATAAACAATCCCGAACTCACGCTTGCATATCTGTTGTCATTAAAATGAATGAGATTAGGGCACTTCAGCACACACTAGTAATGTGAGGGATGCAGTTTTCCATAGTGCAAAGCCTGAAATGCAATTAGGATGGTTCTAAAATTCCCTTTCATTCAATTGGATTGGCGGCTGGAGAGCAGTGGGCTTCGCGGTCTAATCAAGGTTTTAGGGAATGATCAGAGAGCAGCGTGTGAGAGACGAGACTGCTATCGCCTGTGCAAGCGGTCCCTTTTCGCCGCCAATCTCATGAAAACAGTAGAAGAAGTTTAACGAAACTGGTTGTGCCCAAGAGAAAATTGAAACAAGTGACCTGTTCAATCACGTTCAGAGAATCCTTCATACACAATACCTGAAACCCACTCATACACAATGACCGGGTTTCAGGTATGAAAGGAAGGCCCACATTAACCTCACAGAACGTCGCATATTTCAAACGACATCATGGACGGCGGATTGCGAAGCACACTGCATACGACGCCTTTCGAACCCATACCTAAGCTGGGTCGCATAGCAATATTGCATTTGCATGTATTTTCCGTGTGAATCCTTCCCGATGGCCCAAACAGCAGACGCTTCCAAATACCGCTAAATCCACTGCACCTAAAAAAGTAAGCTTTCTGACTGAAACGGGAAGAAAACTTCATTTGGACTTCACTCGGATTATATACTTTTTGGTTCGAAAATCCAGAATTAATCACAAAAACCATTCCATCAATAGTCAACGTTGTCTCAGCAAGTCGAAAAGAGCCAAACACTGAAAGTGATTGAGTGCATCCGCACGAAAATCTGAAACATAAACCTGAAAACGAGGAACTTACAACAAAATAAACGCCAACGCGACGAAGAGCAACGCGGAAAAGAAAAAGAACGGTAAAGAAACGCGGAAAAACAACAAATCGAAAATGAGGGCAGCTATTTTCGAAAATGCTAGGCTGCGTATCACAGCAAATTGGCTGCGTACCTATTGTGCTCCGGAGACCTCCCATTTGTGCTCCGGAGCCCTGCCATTTTCTGCTCCGGAGTTGTCCCAAATCTGGCGCACTCGCGGCGGGCAAATCTCTCCGCCGCGGCTCTCCCAAATCTGGCGTACCTCCGGAGCAAAGATTCGCGCGTCCCGGAGAAAGGTCCCACTGTCGCCTGCTGGTGACGTCACCGTGACCTACAAGAAGGGACCGCCCCCTCGCCCCGCTCTCAATGGTCAATTGGGTCCGCCGCGGCTCTGGCAGATTTCGACTGTCCGGCGCGACTACGGCACCGATTGTCTGAGATGATACCTGAAGCTAAGCAAAAGACATTGTGGGAAGAGTGTGCATTTTTTGGGATATCCTGTATCAATTGTGCTACACATCCCTTTCATGCTATAGGTTATTTCTATTATTTGAAGAGCCGTTCTATAAAATCAAAAGATATCACCACGAAAGAATCTCAGCGAGTGCACCCTTAAATGCAGTGGATCGCAAAGTGGAACCTTCTAGGATTTTGGTGTATTTAGGTAGTAGACACCCCAAGTACACTGTGCTTAAACCCCACCTGCCAATTCATGCGCTAAGCCCTAAAAAATCGGCTTCAAAACTTCACCGACCCCGCCCAATCAGCGGAAGTGGCCGGTGGAGTTTTGAAGCGCGTTTCTCAGGGCTTAGCGCATGAATTGGCAGGTGGGTTTTGGGCTGCACTGTTCTTGGGTGGTCTACTACTTGAATTCGCCAAATTCCGAAAAGGATCCATTTTGCCGATTCACTGCCTTCAATGGGAAACGGCTGTAGTCCCAACTCGAGCAAGAAAGTGATACGATCGCCTGAATGCATCCCCCCCCCCCCCACCTGTCATCGCATACTTATCTGCATAACAGGCCCTATCACGCAGAATGAGAATCATTTCGTAATCATGTCAACTGACCCCTGTACGCCAAGTTTTGGCTAAATCTGAGTTCTTCTGATATGGAGCTATCTCGGTAAAGTATTAGGTAGTCCCGAAAGTTTTGTCCGTTTTTTTTTATTCGTCACAATTTATACAACACTGAACGAAGAACAATTTAGGTATTATATTTCGATTCAGATTTTTTTTTACTTTTTCGATAGCTACACTTTCTTGTTATCCTAGTACTCTGCGATGGCATCTTTATCGCCATGGCTCCTTGGGCAGTCTGACAGCGAAGTCAAATATCTCGTGATTTTTAAGAAAATTTTATCCTAGCATGGTATGTGCTGTAGCTATTATGCAGAGTAAACCTTTCGCTCATTTTACTCATCTCAGCTTAACTTAAAACTCTTAATGTCTGTGATAAATGATATTTGGAAGAAATCGCGGCTTTTTGAACACTGTAGACGTATCGAAAAGCCCAAATGTTGGTTCTTTGAAACGAACAGACTTGATTATTGTGTACAAATAATGTTCAACGACGGTCAAGATTTAACTCGCAGAAACTTTGAACGCTTCAATGTTTTTGCTGCAATTGTGTGTTCCAATTTACCAAACCGAGAACTCCGGATGATTTCGTAAAAGCATGAACAGCAAATCAGAAAAAATCATACGCACACATTCCGAGTCTGCTTTACTTGTTTTATATCTACCTTCTTTAAAAGCCTAAAATAAAACCAAAGTCAACCAAACTTCAAGTAAATAGAAATAAAGGGTAGAGAATTTTGACAGTTATCAAGGAGCGTTTGGAAGGTTATGGTTCAAAAATTTTTACATCAGAAAGAAAACTGAAAATCTGCACTCACCATTTGCACACATTCCCTCATTTTACAAGGTTTTATAGCTGTTGGAAAAAACGGACGAAGGTTTAGGAGCAATCTAACAGTGATTTCCATATGTATTAAGTTGATGCAATAATGGCAGTTCTTCCAAGCCTTTTTTCAGGACAACTTTAACTACGAGTTCTTCTCTGAAAGAGATGCAGCAGCATAACCGCATCTGAAACAATCTCATTGCATTTACTTTTTCTGGCCAGAATTTGAGCGTGATTGAACGGTGCTTCTCCACAAATTCAGCTAGTATGTAAATGAGATTGTCTACATTACGCACACTTAACTATTCCCTTTGTAATTATCTAGACGCTGAGATATCGGCGCCGCAACATGGGTACTCGTTGCGGCCATTCTATGACTCACAAAATCCCTTTTGAGAAGGCAATCGCCGAAGTTTTGCTCATCTCTGTAACGTAAGGGTAGGGCATCCTGTTGACACTTTTTGCAAGTACATTCGGGTGTTCAATACCCAGATAATCCCAACCTCTTATAATTGGGACTTTGAAGCTTAATGAAAAGTGTTGAAAAAAACTGACAACTTCTTCTTATCATTTTTTCTTCTTTTCCCAAATCTTCTCTGTCCACGCCCTTTTCATCTTCTCATGTCCTACTGGCTTGCGGCTGCAAGATAGGCAACCCATCATTTTGATTAAAAATATATTGAAGGGATTTATGACATGTCAAAAAACAGATCTTAGAGAAAAGTTTTTCTCTTTTTCAATTCATATTTGTTTGCGTTTCGTGATGCGAGTATAGATGAATGTGCGCTGTATTGCAAAAGGTTTACTCTTCTGGCGGTCTTCATCGCAACTGGAAATGTAGATTTTTTAGAAAGTTATACGTCAGTGAGAACTCGCAAAACGGCTATTATTTTGCATAAACCTGATACATGTTGTTGCATTACGTTTCATTTACATCGACTTTTGCATCCTGAAGACTTCGTTTTTTGTTTTGTTTTCTGCGCTGGAAATCGTTGTTATTATATTCTGCAAGCAATCATTGGCATTCATCAACATTCTTCGTTGTCAACAATGGTGTTCTTTGAACTCAAAGATAAGTCGATTGGTGGGATCGATCTCTTGGATGTTGACGCCAATACATCCATCCATCAACGTGCTTACCTCGAAGAGGGAAAAATCCCACATTATTTCGTTAACAGTTTTCTTCTCACTCTCACTTCCAATTTTATTGTGCGTAAACAAATGCAAGCAATGCTTTGGAATTTAATTCTGTTTGCACTCACTTATCAGTTGGTTGCTGGTGTACCATAATATGCATGGAGAATTAATGTTTTAAGCATTGCCTTCAAAGTTTCAACTATAAAAGAACCGCATCTTTCATAACTGCGACCAATTATTTGTCCAAACTTTATCTTAAACTATTCCTCCGATTTGTCGGTCTCTTCATGTCATTCCTGACTCTCGTGACTGATTTTCAGAGGTCACTTCAGCCCTTAGGACGATTTATTTGGTTCAAAGTAGCACATCTTACTTATCACAAGCAGAAACGAACAAAAGTGATTAGCTTACCATTCGATAAAGCAAACCAAGCTCTGCAAGATGGAGCACGAACATCAACGGAGACTTTGTTTCACCTGAAGTTTCAAACTAAAAATCAGGAATTTGATTTCTCAAAAATCCTATCTCCGCCAATTTGTACAGGCACGTGCTCTCCACATTAGAAGTTCACTGCACAGTTCTGAAAATCTGCTCATGGTTAGAATACGAGAAACAAAAATACGGCAAAACTGCAAATATGTCGCGTTTTTTGAAATTTTTTGCCATAAATTTGGTATCTCTGGAAAGCTAGCCTTTGTAGAAAGCTGAAACAAGGTTATGTGTAATTTCAGAGATATATACTAAGTCACCTATTTGGAAGAAGCTCAGGATTATTTTGGCAAAATCTCAGATTTCATGTTCTCGATTTTTAGCCATGGAAAAATCACAAGCCATGCACACGAGTATCTGATGTAGAAAGTGTGTGCGCGAGTAAATTGGGGGAGTCTAGGATTTTTTGGTTCAAAATCCGGCTTCACGCATCACGTAAATTAAATTTGTTGCAAATATTTGAGCGTTATTTTGTAAAGCTTGCTTTTCCTTGATTTGTACCTCTTTCACTTTTATTTGTATTAACGCACCGCTGCGTGATAGCCATGATGTGACATTAATTGCCGAACAACCTAATAATTTGGTCAGTTAAATCCCAAATGGATGGCATGCACAGACTTTCTCCATTTTGATTGTAAGCTCACGAATTGTAGCAGGTTAGCGACTTCTTATTACGTATCCAAAGCCAAAGAACCTGGATATATTTACGAAGATGATATGGTACCACAACACACCTTCTTGCTGATTTGCGAAATCTTCGAACACATTTAGCTGAACTGAGCATGACATCTATGTTTTAGAAATTCTTGAGCTGATTATAAAATTGCAAGTGAGAACAGAGCACTACCAATAACGGCTTTTGTTATGTAAAAAGTCACGTTTAAGAATTCTTCTTCGAGGCTGTACAAATAGCAAGAACACTCTGCCAAAACATTTATAGAGCTCCCAAAAAAGTTATAACTTGAAGCGATATCAAATTATGCGATCTGATCGTTTGCGTTAACTTACATGCTCTGTCCGAAATCTATTAGATTGCACTCATTCAATAACGTCGTTTGGGAAATGCTTTTTCATATCGCTTTCATGTCGTTAGTACACTCGTAATGCATCATCGGCGAAGAAAACATCGCGGTTATGAAACAGTCTAGCGGGAGAATTCTTGTAGTTTGAAGTTAATCAATGAAAAGCATTTGTGCGGATTCAACTTTTGCTCAGAAAACTGTAAATTCGAAAGGTTGCGCTTAAGAGGAACAATTATGACGACTGACAAGCCGCCAGAAAGCCAGCCAAGAGTTGGAAGGCTGATATGGAACCTTGCGTTCATTCTAGAGCGAACAAAACTCTGACTCAGACGAAAAAAGCATTGGCGGCGCATATATGGCGTGTACTTTCACATCGGGTGTGCTATTTGACGGATGGCAAGTGATTCCCACTTTCGAGGCCATTCACATCCCTTTTAATGCAAGATATTCTTTTACCGCAAATGAGACGATCACTGGATAAATGTTACGATGTTAGGATGCGGTGGCTATTGAGAGTCACTCAAGAACGATATGATGATAATCGGGATAGTTTCGTGTTTATTCGGCCTTTCTTTGTTGGGGAATGGCCGTGTTCACTTTATGAAGAGTGGGTTCTGATCGTTCAGAAGTTGTTCTCTCAACTGAACGGAGTTGAGTGATTTGGGTAAAATGGCATAGTAAGGTCTTGAACTCGTCCAGAAATTGTAGTGATCTTGATGAGAGCGTCGCTAGAGCACCAAGGTCAATCGATGGATCAAGCGATAAAATCCAGCAGACCCTCCCTGGCCACAGCGGTGCGACTTTCTCCGGTCAGACGAAAGTAACTAGATGGTTGCCAGGCGTCTGGTACTTTACGGCGGCGGTGTTCTTGGCCAGCGATCTCTTTTTCACGGGTGCGCAGTGTAAGACTGGAGCATCAGTATGACACTCTTTCATTTTTGGTAGTGGACTGGCCGCAAATTGCTCTGCACCCGCTGTTTGCGGCAATTTGCTTGCGAAGCGGAAATGGATTGATCTGGAAATCAAGATTTTGGTGGACTTTGACGGAAAGTAGGGCACTTCGCTCCGAGAATGTTTCGGGCGGGCGCGTAAACTTCGGCCGCAACTATGGGTAAGCATTGGGATCAGCTATAATATATCCGCTCGACACGTCACTTGTGCATATTTCTAATGGTGAAACCCTTTTGCCAAATTCAAATAGCACTTATCTTCCTAAATCTTCTCTTTGGCTTTATCTGCGACTTTAGTCCCACGTTCTTGCCCTATTCTTGCGCATTATTCACTACCCGTACCCTCTGCCATCATTTTGACTAAATTTTCATGTTTCAGTTTTATTAATAGCTTTAAACTTAATGTTCCACACTTTGCTGACTTATATCTGGTGGGCGTGCACTTCCTATCTTGTTGTACGGTTACTGAAGTGTTTATTTATCCTCACAAAGAGCTTTATTGTGCATTTCGTAGCTCCTATTTACAACGTAGATCACCTCAAAGATTCATGGACAGGTGAGATAAGATGTTACCAGGATCGTAGACATGTGACAAAACTTATTTTTCAGTGGTTACCGGAGGCACAGATGGCATTGGTCGAGCATACATTGAAGAATTAGCGAAAAGTCGTGGTCTACGAAAATTCTATCTTATTGGCAGAAACAGGCAGAAGTTGGACCAAGTGGTCAAAGAACTCCGTAAGTGGTTCAGCTCATCTCAGGTTCACCGTCTGACATGCTCTTTACCATAGTGTTCACTCGCAGTAATGCACTTCTCGCATTAGTTGTTCTTGGAAGAGCACCATTCTCTGCTTTTTCGCATTTGGCGCGCTTCTCGCACTATTGTGCATCCGCACTCATACCCACCAGATAGACGCAAACACTCACAACGTGGCATACTTTCTTTACTCTAAGCAAATATGACTATTCTAATTCTTATTTCATCGAATGCAAACGCTGGCTGCTCTTTATCCTCCACAGCGTCGCTTTCTTGGGCTGTGCATATGTCAGGAGGCGAGATTTTTATTGGCAGCCGAAACAAACTGCAGGACATTTGGTATTTTTAATGTTCTAGAGGCATTTTGGATTGTTGATTAGATACAACAAAGGCGGCATGAGCTTTCCAATTTCATTGTCTCGGAAAAGGTCGGAAATGAATGGTGCAGGTCAACAACCCTTGAAAATGCGATCAGCAACAAATATGTAAATACAGGTGGTAACTTTGAGCATCTACTAAGCTAAAGCACTTTGTTTGGCTTTTTTTTGAAGATTTGCACAGAAATGGAAATCCAAACCTGTGAAAGGCAATATATCGCCTCTCGAGAGTCTCCTGTAATTACCGTGACAACGCTGCCTACTTTCTTGGGAAAAATCTCATGAAATGGGATTCTTGATGGATGACAGCTGTAGTACTCTCAAGTGACTCTGCTAATCCGGAGATCGTCCAATTCTGCATGAAAAATTGTCGTTCTCATTGAAAGTCACCATCATATTGAACTTATTCATACGCATGATAATCATTCGATGGTCGCGCATGTACACTAGCAGGGACCCAAAAGTTCAAGTTTGGACTCGTTCGGGCTTGCTTGCTGTAATTACACTAACAATTAGCTTGAAACTTTGGGTCTAGGGGTTCGGACATGCTGACCACGAATGTCACGGTTCCAGCATGGTAAGGCATTTTTATAGGAAATTAAGATCTTCAAAAATTCAAAGCCTCGTTTGCTTTTGTACCTCTACAAAATCCTCGCAATAATGCCTAATGTCTATTGTTGATTCCGTACTTCCGATTGACCATTATCTTGAATTTCTCACAAAATCTGAGAGCTTCATCTCATGTAATTACCGTGACAACGCAAAAAAGGCATCACCGTGAAGAATGAGTGTAATATCGTGACCAGCATGTCAAGACCCCTTTCCTTCTTGTAGAATGGTTTGGCAAATTGTGAGATTTAGTCACACTCGACACTTGCCGCAGTTTCAGTTGATAAGCTGGTACGTATGAAAGAAACATTACTTTTATGTCAAATATCCCCGCCATACGCGAAGTTCAGTGAGTTGTGAGATTCTGACATGTACCTTACACCAGTCATGACTTCTTAGAAAAGGCTATCGCATGCGAAACGAGTAACATTCTATGTTTGGTATGTCCAATAATCGAATTTAGGCAAAACACATATAATTTCGAATTTTGAGCTCGAACGTAGTGAAAAACTGTCGCGAAAGAAGAAATCTTGCCGGTCCAACGTATTTGCTTTACCAACGTTACATCAATTACGAGTTTCCTGCTGCAGACATTTAGAAAGACATTTTCCAAAAAATTACTTCAAGTCAGGGTTGTGTCGACCATATGCTAGGATAGATGAGATTCTATCCACTGATTGTAAAGCCATTCGTCCAACATCAAAATTGACTTTTGCGGAAATTTCTAAATAAGTGCTGAGAAGAAAAATCTAATCCATCCTAACAAATCCCAAAACTACCAACTTGTTTAAAGACGACAATAAATAGCTCTTTTCTAAATATTTTCACTTTATTAATTGTTGGTATTACTGTGTGAACAGATCTTCTGTGTTTTTTCATAAGATCATCCCTGCATAATCTAGTCTATCCATCGCGCAGGCAGGCCCTAGCAACCATTTATATATGCGTGGGATTTTTTGATTGTATTGTGCTTTGTAGCCAGCCCGATCAATTGGAAATGTGTACCAGAACTGGTTAATAATATCTTGAAACAAAGTCTGATGCTCACAGATACGTCAATATGATAGAAAGTTTGGTAAATCGAAATTTTGAATTTTGGAACCAAGGCTCGGCACAGATGACTTGTAAGCAAACTGAATATCGTTTTTGGGAAGAGAGCTAAGAAGGTATCGTTTTTGAGGCCGAAAAGACACAAGAATTGCGAAGTTTTTCTGGCCGACGTTTCGTTTTTTGGTGATTTTTTTACGTTTACGGTTTAGGGTCAAAGGGGGCTCCAAAAAAATTCGCGAAAGTCAAGGGGGAACTTCATTTTTTGCATTTTCCAAATGCCACTTCGTGCCGAGCCCTGGTTAGAACCAGTATCATTTACAACTTTCATCAAAAAGTATGCGTGAAGCGATCATGTTAAATATGGGTGTGCGTATGAGCCTAAACTGACTGCTCATCAGTAAGGTCACGTATACTCATTTTAGAAGAGCGATATGAGGCCGAATGTAAAACAGCCGTATTCGATTTTGAATGTGATAGTTATGACAAGCTACCTCAGGAGCTGAAAGATATGGATGTTGGTATTTTGAGTGAGTGCAGTAATCTCTAATTTTATTTCAATATTTCACTTAACAATCGCAGTCAACTGTGCTGGAATTGCTCCCACTCAAGTGGCTAACTTCATCGAAATGCCTGAGGGAACAGCGTCGAGGATATTCCAAGTCAATCTTATGTCGAATGTTAAGGTATGGCTATGACGAAGTCACAGTCATTATTAAACCGTCGTAACTTACAGATGTTGGAGCTCGTCCTTCCTGGCATGATCAAAAGAAACAAAGGATGCGTTGTCAACGTCTCTTCAATGACCGTATGTTGGCGCATATCTTCAAAAAGTGCTTGTGTTTGGTTATGAGATGAAGCAGCAATTTTCGCAGAGTACATTTAAGTGGCAGGATCAAAAACTCATTAGTGTTTTCTTTCATTGGTAAAAGAAAGCATGAATGATTAATGAAAGCTTGAGCGGTTGAAAAGAACATTGGCTGAACATTGGCAGAATTGGGCCAGTTGATAGGAACAGCTGGGTAACCAACTGCATGACTTTCTATCGCTACTGCACTGTATGCAGTCGCGATAGAAATTCCTGTCTGATTTTTCCATAATTTTTTAGGGGTGGCGTCCATTACCGTATATCAGTGCATACCCTGCCAGCAAAGCTGCCATATCATTTTTCTCAGATTGTCTTAGCGACGAATTCCGTCACACAAACGTTCGAATCCAGGTACGAGTATCTGTGCCGTAAGAGAAAATTATTTTTATGTTGCAGTGTCTGATACCGATGTTGGTTGCGACCAAAGTCGCTTCGTACGACGTACATGAGGCTAACAATTTATTCGTAGTCACGCCTGAAAACTATGCAAGGCAAGCGGTACGGGCCTTAGGACGATTCGAAATGATTACGGGATGTGTTCAACACGATATTCAGGTGAGGTTGTTTGCCTGAGAAGCCGCGTATGGGAAGCGCTTCAGCGCAGGGGAGGGGGGGGGGGCTAAATGAGCATACTGATTACCAAATTGGGATAAGACGGTGGGGGGGGGGGGGAGGGGGGGGAGGGAGAGTGGTTTATAGAAGCGAGACAGAGGCAGGGAGTGGATTGTGTGTAGAACGGGTAGAGAACCGAGCTCTGCCATTTTGGGCCGTCTTCGCGGACTACTGGTCCTCAAGTGACACGCAACGGTATCCCAGGACCATTCTCGCTGAAGAGACCCAAAATGGCGAAGTTCGTTCCCCTATCTATTCAGACTTAAGACGAAATGGTGATTTCTCCTATAGTTTGTCGACAGGGACCAAGCATACAGGGCTCCTAAATTGCCGAGTCGTTTGCACCAGCGGTCGCGCGACCGCGTCGCGCCCGGGCATCAATGGCGCCGCCTCGATCGATGGCGGCGGCGCCGGCAAAATGCACGGGCGCGACGCGCTCGCGCGACCGCTGGTGCAAACGACTCTGCAATTTGGGAGCCCTGTACCTGTGAATGGCAGCTAGTTTCCTCTTATGGTTTCGGGCATACTTCATTTTCAGCCGTTTACGCGGTCTAGCAATTTGCTGGTTGTCTACAAATCAACGTTGGCAGACAACAAATGCATGATGTGCATAAGTTTCGTAGATTCGTAAAATGCTTTATCTTCTGTGCATTTTTTGGAGTGGTACCAAATCACGTCGCCACTGAAATCGCGTGAAGTATGCCCGCGTCTATGACTACTGTAGGCCCTATTCGACCGTAAGGCTCAAAAATTATTTGATTACTCAAAATTTGCATATCGATAATGATGGTTACTAGTGCAATTAGACTAAAGTTGGAATGAATGATTTCAGATTGCCTTGGGAACGCTGCTTTCGTTTTGGGTGTTCAAACTTCTATACGTGCCAATAATCATGTTAGGTATACACAAGGATCGTGTTGCTGCCTACCAAAAAAGTCACAGCAAAGTGGCTTAGGTGCTTTCGTGATATCATATTGGCTTTAAGATAATGCTTAATATTTTTGGACATTTGGATTGTGCATGGCGTCATTTTTTAGTGACGAGATGATAAAGATTTATGCATCGGCTCGAGTAAAGGTTTCTACAATGAACAAATGTTGGTTCTGCATGCCTTGTGCATGACTTGAGGTGACCGGATAATTTGCGAAAATTGAATAAAACACGGGTCCGCTTCATAGATTTTTGCATCAAAACAAGATAGTGGATCGCCAAGCAGTTCGGAAGTACTTGATTCGACTAACTACGGCAAGACGTTCTTTGTTTACGTCTTGCAAGATTATACTCACCAGTTTCATTGGGAACTGTTTACCATTTCGTTGATTTTTTTTGAAAAGCTAGAATTTAATCAATTAAACCAATACAACTCGATTTTGCCTTCTTCAGGAAGGAAAGATTTTTAAGTTGCTGCAGTATCTCAAAGTGAATATATAATATTTAGAATATGAGAGATCGCTTACAATATATTGCCCCGCTGCAGTTTTTCACGAAACTGCATCTATGTGGCATCTATGATCCTAGAATTTTCGCCAAAGGCCGAGGATGGGGAAGGCGGGGAATGCGGATGTCTTTTTCCTTTGCAATCATGAGATGCTTCTAAATTTGACAAGTGTGTGACCTTAAAACTCAAAAAGAGTTTGTTTAAAATCTGAAAGACTTCCAACTAGTTACAAGTATAAGCAAGCGTCATCTGCACAATTTTACTAATCCAAAAACATCCCATTTTCGCGGCGCATGAAAGTAGGGGGAGGGGCCCCATGCTCCTCATCCCACTGCAATTGTCGCAAGTGAAAGAGGTAAGTGAAAATTTCAGTACATGTCAAGCGAACTCTCAGTTGATAAGGCTAATACCCACCCTTCCTCCTGTGAAAGGATTTTATCGTGATCATTTCTCCAAAAGTGGCAAGTTAGCAGGTGTGATACTACATGGCGTCAAATCAATATGTGTATAAGATTTACCGCTGGACAAAGGGCAGTCGGCCCATAGAAATGAAGCGGCGTGAACACGGTTCTACCACCCTAAAAGCATGAGGCTCAGAGTCACAACGATAGTGACCCCATATGGCGGTGAGACAATCGCCTTCGTCCGACAGTGAATGTACATTCCCTAGCAGATAACGCTAGTGCAACAGAAGCTTTGAATGTACTTTTTACGAGTATGAAAATTGAGTCTGGAGGAAGATTCTTTAACGACTGGAAGGGTTGTTATCGTTTCTACATGAATCAATCACTTGCAGAAGATTGGAGTGGTATTTCAGACGCTTAAAGTGATCTACGTTAGCAGATGCCTCTTTGAGAGAGCTTTTACATTATTTAATGTCGCAATATGATTTGGGCTCTTATTACGCCTCAGTCTTTCTACAAGGTCGAAGATCATGTTTTTCTATTCACTTCCGAATCAAGTCAAGCTTTCCTGCTACCTGCCATCGGCATCGTTCTGTAACTGCTTACTTATTACGAAAAGAACTTTAGTCTTGCAACCGATGCGGAAAGAATTTTACACGCTAAACTGGGAATTTACGTAGGCTACTTCGACGGGGAAATATGAACTGTGTATGAAAAGTATTTTCAAAAGTCATCTGCGTATTCCCAAGCCATGATTGGCGGTCGCATCCTTCGCGAGTGTTGTCTCCGCAGTTGAATGTTTGCTCGTTTTCGACTACAAAGTTTTTTGCGGACACTTTTTGTTAGGTTTTGTCAATCTTGTGATGACTTTGTAATTACGAAGGCGCTATCGATTCGCTCTCCTGTTTACAAAATCCCTATGGAAAAGAATTTTTGCATGCTCAGCACGAAAGCAATGGCTTGGAAATCTATCAGTGGCGGTTCGAGGGGATTAAAATAATTTTTAAAAAATTTTGAAAATTCATATTAGCCTTGTAAATAAATTTTTTCCGGGTTGTGACTAGCGCCTTTTTTCTAAGATTTTGGGATCATGGGCACACAAAAATTTTGGTGTCACGCCTCCCCTTGGTCCGAAATCCTGGGACAGCCGCTGAAATCTATTTATTGATGTAGTAGTTATTCCGCAACACTCATAAAATACCGAAAACTAGCAAACGTTGTTTAAAGAATGTGGGTCACAAAAATGAAGCCCGGGATTAATATTTTGAGCATGTTTTGATTTTAGGAACCGAAAATTGGTGCACTGTTAGTCGACTGAAGCTACCACGCGTTCGCTTACGTTGGCTCAAACATATATCTTGTCTTGACAAACCATAAAAATTTATTATTTACAAGTATTATATTAATAAATAGGTGAAACATTGATTAAACGCTAAAATGTGCAACGATTTTCACAGGTTTGCAAAAAAAAACGAGGAACAAAACTAGATGTACACGCGATCACACGAGTGTGGGTGCATGGTTCAGATTAACAGAGCAGAGCTCCGCATAAAGATATACTCTCTATAGAACCGATAATCCATGGATAAAAATCCGTGGATAACCTGTAGGTTCACGCAGATGCATTTACAGAGGCTTTGATCACTCGCCATATTTCAGTACACGGCAGACGGGATGTTTTTGTGTACGACTGTAATGTAATGTATAACGAAAAGAAGATTAAGGAAGACCGTGAACGTAGCACCTTTTCGGCTGGTAAGGTTCGAGCAGGCGGTCCAAACTTGAAAAGTCGAAAGCGCTAAGGCTACGAGAAGGAGAGGCAAGGCGCCGCTGAAAAAAACGCTCAAAATTCCTTGAGGCCGTGGTCAAAGAAATTGGCATTCATACTTTCTTGGGAGCGTTCAGAAGCAAATTGCGAGGTTCAGGGCTCGGAGGGCGAAGTCCAAGGCTGAAAACACTGGAGCTAATTCAAGTGAGTGCCGGAAGCACCGAAACTGCTTACGGTAACGGTGGCAGTACGAAGCGTGGTATTTCCTTCAGTTTATCGTCTGCGGGGAAAACAGGAGTTAATCCTTCGTCATAGGATGGTCGACAGAGTAGAGGAGCACTGCTATCGTGATTCAACATAAAACGCCTGGCATAGGCAGGACGTTCGTTTTGGATTTGTTCTTCTTGCGAGTTTTCCTTGGGTGGTACTTCACTGGAACTGTTGCGAGAGCTGCGATCAAGGAATTTCAGCATCGTTTTTGACGGGACGTGCGAGTGCCCTGAATGCATATTTCGGGTGATCTGCCAAAAACCTATAGGCGCCGTAAAACCTAGTTGCCCACGCCGTGCCTTGAACACCGGCGTAAGCGAGCGGTCGTCGCGAACAATTGTCGGCGTTCACTATATTCCAAAAAATCTTTCTTTAACTTTCATGTTGTTCTCGTTAATGTAAGGTATATCTTGACGAAAGCTCCCTTCAGAAGTTTGAAAAAATATGTGTGGAAAGGGTGCGCGCTCATTGTCGCTCGCAAAAAGCCTGTAGCTTTGGGACCCAACGTTTCCAGCCGCCCGCGCGTTGGTGTTCAAAGCACGCGTGAGCAATTGGATTTTACGGGGCCTGTATCCCCTAGATTGGGAATGATTACCGTGGGTTTGCGTTTGCTTATCCATTGGGTTGGGCCTTGCACGTACAAATCCATTTATCTAAATGTATAAGCGATATCTTCAGGCGAAAACTGTGTCATACCCACTGGTGTTTGGTGTTTGCTCTGCTGTAATTTTACGAAACAGTAAAAAAGCAGGTGCAGTCATCTTAGGTTTTAGCCTACAGTCCTACAGCGCTAGAAAATTATATGGTTCACTCGCTGGTCCCCTTCCGGTTAGTAGACTACTTTACAATTCGGCCTTTCACAGTGTTGAAGAAGCTTATCAAGCTCACATTTTGTCGACTGCTGTTTTCATAATCACTTAAGCAGCCGTTACCCTCATCGGAGTAGCTGTGAAGCAGTGGTGGTATACCCTTTTTCCTCGGTTGGTAACTGGAAGCAATATCAGTGTTTTGGAAAAAGAACTACGGAACCCACCTTGACCGGCCATTAGTACCGCAGTTTCCAACTGAAGCGCGGTCCATTCTGCTTCCATTCTTGTAGTCTGGGCGTAACTCAAGCAGTATTTTGTTAGAATTAAAACGTTTATTAGATTCAGAACTGAAAATCGCTGCACTTTGAAATATCAATCGTTATTTGCAACAGCTGAAACTTACCTAGAATTTTCCATAGCGCTGTTTCTCCTTTCAAGCTTTATTGTTTTTGGCTCCTAAATAAAATTTTTCAACGAATATATGGTCTATGTGCTGATTTTCACCGATTTGTAATAGTCACGCGTAGTGTCCCAATTATCATAAATTGATTCTGAGTGATCTGAAAATCAATTCCTCACATGAAAATGGGATTTATCAAATTCTTAAAAGTACCTGAATTGAATCTATGTAATTGTTCAGTGTAACTTCTTCTGAAAAACCAAATAAGAAAGGCAAAGGTATCACTTAAGTTTAACTACCTTTGTCCTAGCCTATTCAATAATAAGCTATCGTCAATGGGACTTCTTGAAATTGTCTCATATTGACTACGAGAAAAAGGGGTTAAGCCACCCATGATTGAGTCTCACAATACAGTTGAAGCCTTCACTGAAGCGAAGAAGTGATGAACTGAAAGTAATTCCAGCTAAAATAATTTTCTAAAAATGTAACACAGTTTGTGTAATTTGGATCTAACTAATAAAAGAGATGAATAAGTAATTGTTCTGTCATGGTCTTACTCTAGGAAAAAAACAAGTAGTACTCAAAATGTCTGACTGCTCAGGAAGACGAACATATTTGGTCTAGGATAGTTAGTCTTATCCTGAAACTTTGGCGGGAAATCGATGTTGTACAGGGATTAGGTCATCATAATATTTGACCATCTGTATTAAAAGAGTCAAAGAATATTCTTGCTTCATTTTGAGCATACAGGACTTCTGGTGGAACTCCGCGCTGCGCGTCGAAAGAGATAAATAGTAGGTATGATCCGATTCTCATTGCTTACTGTGACTAAAGCACATTTTTTTAGAGAGAGCACCGTAATAAAAATTAGCTAACTTTTCCGTCAAGAGAAAACTATTTGTGGGTTATACGGTATGTTTCGTAATTTCGCCCAATATTGTAGTTTGTCTGAGCAAAGTTCGACAGAATTTCACATACAATTATCCCTGTAGTATTCATAAAATGCAATCGTTTATGTGAATTGAGAGCCATAGCGAATTATGAGAAAATTTCCATTTTCACTTCCCGTGCATACGTCATCGATAGCTGCTGGAGCAAGCAAACCTTTTTCCTTCTGGCTGAAAAAGTTTTTAGAACATCTAAATGGTTTCCAAGCAACTGCTCCTGAGCGGATATGTAATCTCAGTCCAGTCAACTGCTATTTGCTGCAGGATGTCTCTTAAAAGCGCTCCCACAGAATAAAGTTTATATTGCCGTGACCTATGCTTGCTTAAAAAGTTTGTAAACCACGGTAGAAGTAGGCGATTCGATTTTTGTAACAGATATTTGAAGGGAGCAGAACTGTTTTTCTCATTCTACTAATAGAGAAGATTATTCATTGTAGAGTGATGTATATACCATATTGTAATCTCTTTTCGAATTTGTGGAAAAAACCTGACCGACTTGTGCTACAATAAACTGGGCTGAGGAGATTAAAGTTAGAGCTGGGTATCGACTTCATAGGTAAGAGCAAAAATATTATCGTAGATATCTGTCTATACGTGCATGAAAGTGCTCCCAAATCCACAGCGTTTGACGAAGAACTTAAGGCAAAGCAACCTTTCGTGCTCACACGATCTTGCACAGGCGTGCGACGTTCAAATTTCACCAAATAAAGTGAGGATAAATGTCTGCACCCCGATCACTTGAAAGTAACATGCGTATGAGAAATCTCGAACAAGGTGTAAACAATATATGAGAATGTATGAGCAAAGGGCTTGAATCTGTTTTCCAAGTAGCAAACATAGTGTTAGCTGGTGCTAGCTTGGTTGACACTGAGAAAAAACAGAGTCAATATTTCCACCCTCTCACGTATTTCTTGAAACTTCCTGAAATGGATTTATTCTCTAACTCAAGCTCTGACTACTAGTATTGCAGTCATTCAAGGCATTATACTCTCCGCTTTGCTACGGCTCTCTACATAGCCGTTTTCTTCTCCTTGCTCTTCGCTCATTCACCTTATCTTTTATCCTTATCCCTTCTGTCACTCGTTCGTTGCATATCTTCAAAGTTATATCTTGTAAACACACCGAGTAAAAGTCGTATTTTCAAAGTCACATAGGATCGAAATTCCAAGCCCTGATTAGAGCCCCACGTAATTAGGGGCAATGAAAAGCTTCTTACTGAAATAGCACCTTCTGCGTTTAGGCGAGATTATTTATTGTTCAGACTATATCAATCTTTTAAGCATTCCGAGTGACTGTTTCACTCGTAAAGACTCGGTCAGATGCTTACGAGATATTTTCGGAGTCGAAGACGAGAAGACTAAAGGGAATGTTCAGCACCCAGAAATGTAGAAAATTCGCAATTTTGTACAGCTTTCTTGAATTACTAAGTTGTTGGAGTGGTGGAGTATGAATGACAATACAACTGCATACTGCTACATACTGCTGATTGTCATAATAGCAAGGCTGGTCTAAGTATTTGGTGAAGCACAATAGATTCGTACACGTAAACAATAAAAGTTTCAAATGAACTTTGGGCATACGCAGATGGACGGACACCTAGGTTACCCGCAAACTGACCGTTGTGATAACGCTAGTATATGTTGTGGTATGGATCAGGGACATCATAGTCTTTATGTGTTGAAAGATTCTTGCATCGATTTACTTAGAACCGTATCACATGATTCGTAAAAGCTCGCAAAATTCTCGGATGCCCATCTTTACAATTTCGCGCTCAAAGGAGTAATGAGAATCTTGCTTGCTATGTCTAACTTTCGCAACAACAAAAAGGAGCCCTTCTATGTTTTCTTCTCTTCAATCAACTATGGTAGCTGAGGTTTTGCAGTTGTATGCTTACTCAGACAGTCGAAAGGATACCTCCGGGGCGAAAATGGGAGGGTCCCGGGCTTTGCCCAGCGGGGTTTGCCACTCGTGCTCCGGAGCCCTCCCATTTCACCCATATTAGTGCTCCGAGGGTCCTCCAAATCTGGCGCACCCCGGGAGCAGAGATTTGCGAGCCCCGGGGAGGGGTCCCATTCGCCTTCTTGTGACGTCACAGTGACGAGGCTCGCAAATCTCTGCTAGCAGAGCGCCAGATTTGGGGGAGCCCCGGAGCACCAAAATGGGTGAAATGGGCTCCGACGAAGTGGCAGACCTCGCCATTTGCCCTCCGGATGTATCCCTTCAACTGCCTGAGTAGGGTACGGGGTATATGCACGTCATGTATGAATTATGTGCAATAAATTCTCATTTTGAGCGTGTGCGATAAGTTTAACGGAGACAACCGTTCGATAACATTTTTCTCATATGAATTAGCCGGTTGAAAAGCTTGGAAACTGGCAAGCCTTTTTCCCTCTCCTTCTTGCCTAATATTCCACACCCGCGAATACATTCAGCTAAAGCTCAAGCAAGCCTTTGCTGAAAGCAGCGTCCACCCTTATCTTTCTTTAATGTTTCAATCATTTTTAAACCTTTCCATGGTCCAGATTTCGAATGCGTGGTAAGAAACGCTTGAAAACAACCTAACAGCTTTGACCCTAATTCAGTAAGCGTGGACGATCCCGGCGTCAGTTCTGTCGTGCAGCACAAAATGCGACTATGCACCAATACTACACTTGCAGTAAGCGTCTCAAGCAACGTCGGAACGCGTCAGGGAACCATCCCGGGATGGTTGGAGCTTCATAGGATGGGCTTAGCTTGATAGCACTTTCGCGAAAACTGAGTCGGCAGATACATGACTCAATGTCATAAGTAACATTGCGGTAGGACTACTGACGGGAGCTGAGGGCCGTACTGCCTGACGTCGCGTTGCGGTGTCCGCGAATAATCGTGACTCCTGACCCATACCCGTTTGTAGACTAGGCGTGGTGCACACGTGTTTCGAAATTATGCAGTGTTCGCTCTTTCTCGTTATCATCACGACTTTACGAGGTTCCTCTTCCACGATAATGTAACCAGATGCTCGGCAAGAGATCATGAGCGTTCAAAAACATATAGACCTGGTAGCATCCTTCCAGGAAGCTCAAAACTCCATAAAACGCTATGTATCAGAGACTTGAGTTGGCTTTTTATGGCAAATCATTCCATTCTTCTCAAAACCTTGCAAAAGATTGTGATCCGATCAAGAAACCCCTATTCAAAAACAAGAGACTCCTATCTGCTCCGCATTGTGCGTCAAAAGAACCAGCGAAAAACACCCTACAAGTTGGTAAGAGCAGGTGCCTTGATTTTCCCCACGGCAATCCGCGTTCGAAAACCCAATTAAGGGATTGCACGGAATGCTAGGATAGCTCTCAAGGATGTTTATGGCCCACCCTCACATTCTCATAGTGTCTAGTTTTCTCCTAGACAAGGCAGCCAAGATCATACGAAGCTTCTGCTCACAGAAATAGAAGAAGACTTTGCAAAGACTTCCTTTCCAGATTGATTAGAAAACGATAAGGACACCACAAGTGACAAGCTTTCCAACCATCATACGATACAACCCAATTCCGATCACTTCAGAACAGACAGAAAATTTATTACATTATGAATTATAATTTAAAAATTGGCAGGATTATACCAGATTTATCTTCCAGTGCTTGATGTTCGCGTCTTGGCCTACGCTCAATAATTCACTATTGTTCAAAAACACGAGACCATTGACAGGCGACATTGCATGAGCTCCTAAAAGCAAATTGTGCAAAGACGGATATGGCATTTTGACTCATTGAAAAGCAGAAAAATACAATTCGAACTAATGCTTTGAGAAATACGATGCAAAGTAATGAATTCGATCAATTGCACTGCTCAGGATAGATGGTCCTCTTTGGCGGACCAAATGGGAGAAAAAGTCTGAGCCTTCGAGCAATCATGAGAACAAAGCTAACTTGCGATGACGCATACGCATGCGTCACAAACTTCGAAATTTTAAAGCCTTCGGAGAGATCATAAGACGACGAATGGCGCAGAAACAAAAACGTTCGGAGACACACAGATAAGCCGTGATGGTTTTCTGGTCGAGATGACTCAAGTATAAGCCGATGCTGTTTGTACGCCTTACATGCCATCAAAAAGTATGAATGAACAACGAAAAAGGCAATGAAAATGAAAATGTCTTACCTCGGATAATTATTGGGTGTTCGCCGCTGTGCTGCAGATCCCATACGATGACATTGGTGTCCAAACCACCCGTTGCCAAATGGCGATTGTCTGTACTCCATGCAACGCAGTTGACCTTCGCAGTGTGGAAAGTCCATTCCTTTTCAGCGATGGTTGTGAAACCATCTTTTACCGAGTATGGTACAACCTGAAAGAGCAGTTACAGTGCCATTTCTTGGATTATTCTCTACATGAAAATCACCTTTCTTCCACTGTCGGTGGCGACCAAGTATTCACCATTTGGCGAGAATGCAACGGCTGTGATAGGCGTTGAATGGGGCAGTGTTTTTTCTTCATTTAATTTGGTGCCAGAGAGGGAGAAGATATGTACTTTCGAATCCTGTAACCTATCGACGACATTAGTAAACAATGAAACTCGTAACAGCGTATCTTTTAGGTGAGGATTTAGGTAAGAAAAGATGAAGGTACATACCTGACCACCGACTGCAATCAAATTGTTCGAAAGTGCAATACATGAGGGATTGAAAGATACGCTGAGATCGGTTGACAATGTTTCACCCTAAAGATAGCTAAAACTTATTCAAGATAGTAGGCGGGATCTCTCACAGTGCTATCCCATAGTTGCCAATCTACTAATTAGACACCAACCTTGAAGACAATGATGTTCTTAGCACAAGCAACAACAGTAAGGCCACCTTCCTGAGAAGACACGACATCGAGAGGTTGTGAAGGCAGTTTCACAGACGATGAACGTGGTGTGTCTGAACATTTTATCAATGACACTAATTTGCTAGTTACCAAAAGCAAACCTGAGTTAAGAATGTCATGGGTGAATCGGACGGTATCGTCCCATGCACTACTGATCAGCTGATCTTTAACAAAAGACAGCCCGACAACCTAAAGTTTGTGAATTATTCGATTGATATTGTTGAAAAGTGAACTCACTTGCGACTTGTGAAGCGGTGGAGAAATTCTTTTCGACTCGCCATTACTGACATTCCACTTCGCTGCAAACATTTTTGATGAATGATTGCACTGGATAAGAAGAGGTCGATAGCTACCTAGTACGGAACAAAACTCAGAAAATGCTTACTGATATGTCCCTCAAAATCGGAAGTGAATAGCCACTGCTTGTCTTCGCTAAGAGCAAGAGCGGTGATGCCTTTGTTGTGACCATGATTCACCTAAAAGCGAAATAACTTTTCATGCAGTGGTTAGCATCAGCGGATGAGCAAGGAGCTTGTGTACTTTGATACACTTTGATATTGGGACGTCTTAATAGGTTAAAGATAGAATTCAGCAGCAGGTAATCAAGAATTAAGTGGTAAGCGAAACAGTAGAATAGCAGTAGAATATTCGGCAGATACTGTGCAATAGCAGAGTATTATAAGTGGGAAGCATGATACGAAGAAAACTTGCCTTAGCGATTTTCCCAGCTGGGTCGATAAAGTTTACGAATCCAGCGAGCGACACGGAAACAAGTGCTTTGGGACTCCAACTGATGCCCACTTGCTGATCATCAACCGAATCACCAAAATTAATGGTGCTAAAAGCTGGAGGTCATTGTTATCATATTACCATTAACATTTTGTAAGTATGAAGAATCAATCAACGATCACAGAAACTGAGCACACACCTTTCCAGGGCTTTCTCTGCTACATTCCAGATCTTCACCGTTTTGTCAGCAGAGGCGGTGGCAATCTTCTTTCCACAAGGCGACCATGCTAATCCAAATACGCTTCCAGAATGAGCCGCCTCTGTCTTAACTATGTCTTCACATCGACAAAATGGGATGGGGAAATCTGACGCATACCTTGAGGGATGGATCCAACAGCTCGGCAACTTTCGCACCTTCAACTCCCTCGAAAAGCACTACCTAGAAGGAATATGGACAGATCCGCATCTAACACATTAACCGAAGTTCATACCTTTCCATCGGCACTGGCACTAGCGAAGAGAGAACCATCGGGGCTGTATTTCGTTACGTGAACAAACCGAGAATGCTCATGGAAGGTCTAAACAGCAGTAAAAGGAGAAGATAAAGACAGGTGCAAGCGATGTATAAACGGTACATCACGTTAGGTTAAAACGCCTAAGTTCCCTGCAGCAAACGGGAAGAATCTAACAAGGGAGAGTTCCCAAAACAGCTTGGCCAACCCGGATGAGTCATATATCACCGTAACGGGCTTGGAACGCTGATTCCAAATCTGCTTTCCTTTTCTGCGGAGCAACTCGAGAAGTTATGAGCGTTTGAATGTCTAAATTTGTCATGATTAAAGTGGCTTAAAATTAGTTGAAAGTCAGTAAAACAACACCTAACGGAATTTCACTATCTGTATTCCGTCCTTGTAATCAGCATACCTGATACAAAAAACTGACAAATCACTTTCATGTGTTATTGTACAGGTTTCGCCAATTTTAAGCCACTTAAACCATGACAAATTTAGACTTTTGAACGCTCATAACTTCTCTCGGATAATTTTCCGCAGAAAAGGAAAGCAGATTTGGAATCAGCGTTTCAAGCCCTTTACGGCGATATATGACTCATCCGGGTTGGCCGAGCTGACTTGGGAACTCTCCCTCGTAAGCAATTTCAACCGATATATCGTCACTTTGACTTACCGTCTTGAACTTGAAAGGAGGACCTTCAAAGATTGCCACAGTATTGTCTTCAGAGCCGCTGATAAGCCGATATGGTCTCTAAATACTGTGCGTCATCACTGAATCATTGTATTGAGAGGATTATCGAACCGCTGGACGAAAGTCTATGCTACTCATAGGCCGGGATTGTCCAGACAAATTACCATTGGAAGTTCCTGTGTCGAACAAGAAGACATGGCCGAACCTGAATCAATGAGACATATTGACAAAAACCACCTTATGAATATTGTTGGCGCTAAATTCTTGGCAAGTTTTATTATGGAAGGACAATCCATGGAAAAGAAGACATTCTCCTCAGAAGAGGAAGACCTTCAATTGGGAACATGACAAAGACTTTAAGCTACGATCATACCCATCCGATTGGATGTGATTTACATTGACTAGAGAAGAAATCCTCGTGAAAACGAGACCTAGATTTCGGGGTTCAAGCATATAGTAATTTAGAGTACAAGTAGGTCAAAAGCTTCTAAAGCGACCTGTAGAACAATTTCGTAAGGCTGGGTGGACACTACAGCTGGAGGCGATGCCAATGTACAGCGATAACATTACTCTAGAAAATGTACCCGTATTAGTAATACCTACGCATATGTATTATACTCACGGACGCATAGTGAAATGGTTGTGTGGAAAAAAAAATAATGACGGGAAAACTGTGAAAAAGGAGAACTAAAAGGTTAGAAAAGCCAGAACTTGTTGAAAAGCACACCTTTCCCGCCCCTCTCCTACAGCAGCGAGTCGCTTACTATCATCGCTCCAGGCAATGTCTCTCACACTACCAGAAAACACCTGAAAAGCACCACTGTAACGCTAATTCATTCTATACAATGATTTTGCAGCTGAAATGTTAAACCTGATAAGTTGCTTTGAGGATGTGGGTAGTTTGCGTTGTATCCCAGATTCTAACATTTCCTCCAGTGTCACCAGATGCAATATAGAATCTGGAAAATCAATGTATGTTTGTTTCTTTCAAATTCACCAATGTGAGGAAACTCACCCAGATGGGCTCATTTTGGCAACGGTTGTATTCAGAGAATGTTCTGTGTAGATGTCCACATCCGTATTATTCTGAACATATAACAGAACCTCAATGATTCCCCAAAAATATAATTTTGAAAAATGGAAGCTAGGAAGTCCTCAGACATCACAGCAGTGTGGATAACAGGATTTACATCAATGGGACTTTACAACTTCAAGATTATTTAATAACAAGAACAAACATAGACCGGCGTATCCGCCCTATTCCATCTACGAACAGATTAGCTGCAGATAACTAGCAGATACAACTCTAAATGAAATACACATAAGAAAAGGTAACCTACCTCGACGTCAACGATGAAAACCGAGTTTCCACTACAGTAGATGATTTTCTGACCATTGGGGCTTGATGTGATGAGTGTGGGAAAGCCCCGTTTAGTTTGAGGTAATGAAGCGAAGACACGACGTCGGGTGTACTCTTCACCACCATTCATCCTGGATAAAATGACCTAGCTTATTAAAGGTCCGCTGTTATCAAAGATCACCGACATTGCATTAGTAGATAGCTGGAGATTGAATACCACGCATATTGAATATGATAATATCTACCACAATCGTAAAAGCGCTACAGAAAAACACTCAAAGCGCGAGGAAAACTATCACTGTTTTGCGATAGGATACTTGAGAACATTTTGCCGCATGATTATCAGGTTAATATCTGCGCTTCAACACATTTGAATAATTCAAGACATGTTAGCTGGATAACATTTTAGTTAACGCGTTCTCGTGTATATTCTCAAAACGGATGATGCAAAAAAAAATTGGAAAATTTTGGAATCCTAGACAGGAGCTAACTACAGTTACTTTACAAAGAACAGAAACCGTATACTTATCAGGCAAACTATCAAGAAGAGAAGACAAAAAGCAAGGGGTTCCAAAACAGATACAATTCAGAGCATTTATCAAATGTTCTTTCAAAATCCAACGCAGCAAACACGGCGCAGACGGCCACGTAAGCGTTAGGACTCGTTCGCTGACATTTACATAGATAAGAAATCTACTTTCGCAGAGAAAAATTTTCAGATAAGGGATAAAGGAATAGACGGAACACGATTTTGCAAGGGCACAAAGGTAGTCAATTCCACAAAGCGTTGCTCTAACACGTGCGCTATCGAATAGTGTCGAATATAGTTCATTTCACAAAGTTAGACGACACAGCGAATGTCGCCACGCGTGTAGCGGCGTGCGTGGCCAGCAGAGCAGCTGATATCGATCTCGCCTACTCAGGCGCGTAGCCGCTATATTCGCTACTCAACATCTATATCGATAATTATGGAGAGGCCGCAAAAGTGCAATCCCTGTATTTGAAATTTGTCTAGAGAAAACTTCACAGAAATAATGAAGCGATGCAAAATGCTATACCATCTGAAGACTTCTGATGAGCTACGTTAAGTGCAAGTTTAAAATATCACACAAGAAGCACCCACTTGTGGGAGCGGCGACAAAGCACGGATGACTCACTCTGCAATTGACGACGTAGCACGGTTTACGCTCTTTGCACTATAGCTACGGGTTTCGTTGCATCGTGAAGTACATGCAGAGAAAGGAAACCTCACTTCTATCCAGTCTTTTCATTTCTATTCAAAGCTGTTTGCATTCGGCAAGGCAAAGAGCGCAGGACCTCTTCCACTCTCACTTAGAAGTGCAATATTCCTCCTCTTATTTAGCTGCTCAGTTCGAGATACTAGTGAAAAATTCATCTTTTTCTGCGAAAAGTGATCCATGAGGGGAAAAAAAGAACGCAAGTTGGCTGGGAGAAATGGTTGGATTGCCCAAAACGATCATTTGTAAGAGTTTCAGATTGCAGTCTCCTTTAAGCGGCCTCCAGAGTCAGTCACAGGAACACTGTGCTAGTAAGTCCCTCTACATCGACTTTACTAATGTTCCATGATAAATGACAGCCCTCTGAAAGTTACAAGAAGCTAGTGCGAAAAAATAAGCCTTGCACAGTGCTCATAAATATCTAAGGTGTCTGCGATTTTTATCAGACTCGGTCGTACAATCAAAAATGCTGAATTTCTCTGAAAACAAAAAGTCATTCTTATTTGTTTGACAAGGTTGTTTCTTAGTTCGTGTGAAGTACTGGTTGCATATATTTGTTCAAACGGACAAACATGACCTCTTCCTCCTCGCTGACCGTGCGGAAATGGCCAAGTATTTCCCTTCAAAAGAGACGTAAGAGTGTGGGCACTGCCTAGTAGATCTGACAGGAGCCCAAAACAATTGGTAAATCAAAGAGACATCCGTCATTTTTCAGACTTTTTTAGCTGTTCCGCTTTACTCATTTCCCAATGCGTTCTTGCGAGACGATAAATGAGCGAGAGAATGCGTCCATGAATGTTTTTCATGAAATGAATGCGATTTTCGCCAATACTTGAGGTTCTAATACTCAATCGAAAAAAATTAGCTGCTTTTATGACACAAATGGTTACTTTTAGGAAAGACCATACCGTCTTCTATTTGGTACAATTAAAAATCTCAACGATAATTTCTAAGCATTGTTTCATTACTTTTCAGTCGGATATACTGGTACTTTGATTCACTACCTTTCATCCTAACGAAAACAGTTTCCAGATCTCAGTTTCATATTCGTGACACTTCAACTAAAGTGAAAAAATCAAGTGGGCGAAGTGGAACACCACGAAGATTATGTGAGATCGCAAACTTTTTCATCCATTACAAGTCCTTTTCTGGACCATCGCCAGAATACTCTCTAGTATTTGCGCTAATTGCTGCGCGGAAGTAGGCGGCAACATTTGTTTGATTCCACCACCATCACGTCACTGCTCTTGTAGACAGGAGCAAAGGAGAGCGGATGAATTAATGTCTACGTTTTATTCTTAGATGAAAGGGACATCCGTCACCGCTTTTGTGGCCAGGAGAAAACCAGAGGAGAATATTTCATTTCTACGTTCTGCTCTTAACATTGGATGAAAGGAGGAGAGACAGGAAATAAAGCATATCAAATGAAATAGCTATTGTAGATCACATTTTGCAAGCAATTAGAAGTGCCCACCATAAGTCGAAGCTAAACTCAAATTTCTTTAGTTGTACTACAAAGATAAAAACATCGTATCTGCTAGGCTATTTTTTACACAGAACACTTGAGCTTGGCAGCCACCTACTCATTGTGCCTCTTCTCAGACAGTAAACAGGATACAGAGGTGACAATGGGATCTGGTTGGCAGATAGTTAAGAGAGTGATCCATGAAGACATCACAACAATCTCGAATTTGCATTCATGTTCATAAGGACCTAGATATCTTGTGCAACATAGTTTATGAGAGAGTTACAGACTATGCAGTTAGATAGTGGAATTACGGCATAACAATCGCGCGAACATAGCACAATCTTGAAGATTAACCCTCGGCGAACTGTTCAAAGTTATTGAAGAAAAGAACCTACAGAAAACGACAGCACAAATTTGCGTTTGAACTCAAACGAAGAATAATAAGATAAAATTGAGGTGACTGGTATCGGACTAGCAACATTCATCGTGTCGCCTCCGAACGGGGGCGGAGGAGGTCCGTGGGTTCGCTATGCAGTGTACAGAGCAGGCGGCGCTCCGATCGCCCTCCACGAGAAGAATCAATAACCTCAACCCCTATACTCTTGATCGGTACCTCCGAAAATAGCCCTACATCTTGGGTAGAGACAAAACAATACTAGTCACTAAGGTCTTGGTCACATGTATCTAACTGGAAGCGGACAGCTATGAAAGGGACTCAAATTCTTTGTTGTACACGTTACTGTTTTTTTCTGAATTATCCTAAGCAAACTTGCAATGTATCCTCTCTGTGCAAAAGATTGCAACATCCTCATTCTGACAAAAGCACATGACTAGATACTACCGAACTATCTGAGAGCTTTGAAGTTCATGAGAAAGCCGGGGACTTCATATGAAGCGCAGCATTTACAACGGTGAAGATATAGTAAGTTCCAACTCGGTTAAGGCGGAAATTGGACTGGCGGGAGTCCGCTTCGCAACGATTCGCGCCGCTTTGCAGTCTGCGTCTCTTCATTCTAATCTATCTCGCTGAGCCAATGGCGGTGCGGACGGCTGCTACACTTGGAATGTTTCGCTTACTCCGGGTTGAAAAAGACTGTACAGCGCCCCACCTCGCGCCCGCTCAACTAATACCGCCTCTGCACCTTCATCCTGAGTGGCCTTTACAGGGCTTATCAAACACAGTGTCGCTTGCATCAGCATCTCCACTTCCGCGCTGGACCCTACGTCTCTTCCGCGAACATGCTCTCCAATCACTTCCAACCAATTGAGGCTCCGCCTTTCCCACGCTCGCCCTGGTAAAGTGATCAGAGAGCATGTTCGCGGAAGAAACGCAGAACCCAGCGCGGAAATGGAGATGCTGATGCAAGCGACACTGCGTTTGATAAGCCCTGTACGTTACCTACTTTTCAAACAGTCTTCGCACATCTCTGGGTGAGTTGAAGTGGTACGGTATATATATAGAACGATAAAAACTCTAATACCAACGGTAACGATAGATGCCACGCGGGCTGACTCGGTTCGATGCGTACCTCAAACTTGGGTAACTAAACCGTTTACTAGAGGTAAATAAACAATAAACAAATAACGCAAAATATATCTAAAACTACATAACAATAGATGGTGAGATGCCAAAATAATGACGCAGAGGAATGAGGACTACACAAAGTATATATGCGATAAAAGTGAATTAATGAAATTGTCATTTTCTCCGAAATACTTGGCTTTAGATTGTTCTAAATTTTCTGGTTTTCTTGCAAAATCCATAGAGAAATAGATGCAAAACTGCATAGAGAACTAAATGCAAATCAGAGCGATGAGAATCAGTTAAGCCAACATTGAGAGGATAGTTTCCATAATCAAAAAGATCAAGCAAGCGATAAAGCAAGTGATAGAACAAGTGATAAACCAAGTGCGCGGAGCGCATCCGAATGAACACCAAATGAAGCTTCTCATGGTCAGAGTCGTCGTTGCCATCTGGCGCAGCTGCCGCCCTGAGTCACTCGGTCGCGCTGTTTTTAATAGCCTGAAGTAAAGTTTGCAAGGATAGGAGTACTGTATCTTGCAAACCTCGTTTACTTGTTTTTTCTTGTTGTCGCTTGGCGACACTGGGCACCTTGTTGTAGAGCTGGCTTCTTATTTCTTCTTGTTAGGTCTACAATGGAAAACGCATCGTCGAATCCTTTTTAGTGCCGTAGAAAGAGGATCGGCGATTCCTTAGTATCGTATAGCTACATAAGAACTTTTGGAAGGTTTGGGCCAGCGGGACGAAAAATTGCCCCAAAAATTGTCAGAAACGACTGACCTTTTCACTAGTATGTAGAGCAGGGTCGCATTCCTGGACATAAGCATAAGTGCACTTCATCGTCGTCTTCAGTTATAAGCTACGCAACGATTTTGAAGGATCTATTTCCGATAATCGTCAGCAGCGCAGTCTCATCATTTTTTAAATTTTTTTTGTAGATCTGTAGAAAATTGCTGGATTCGGCGGATTTGGAAACCCAACCACAAGAGCTTTCACTGGTTTTGCAAATGTTTTTGAAATGGTAGCTAGTTTGCATGACAGCAATCATGCCGAAAGTTCCTGTCGTATCCCACAATAAAGACTGGTGTTCCATTGCTGTGACTCTATGTTGAAGCTTAATCTATAATCAAAATATGGTGCTGAACGGCAGCAAAAGCTTCTCCGACAAGAAGGTTATCAAAGGCAAAGTATTCGACAATTCTATTGAGAAATCGTATATGAAATTGTATAATAGCCCACTCTTGCATTACTCTGCAAAGGCCGTGCAGGGCTTAGGTTATTCATTCTACATCAAAGTAATCAGAAAATTCCCTGTTGAGATAAAGATATTGTAATCCCTGCACTCTTCTTAGCCGATGACCTCAGACTTAGCAAATCTACTTATTCATCCTCAGATGTGTGGAATTGCTTGGCTATCTCTCACCTGTTCCTGCTATAGATTGCCTGGTGAAGCAAATGTACCACACAGTATGTACTAGACATGGTGGAGTTATAAAATCATCAACAAGATCCCCAGTATAGGGCTCGCACGAGGTGGCTTTCCGGAAATGCAAGAAACGAAGTCCTTCTCGGCTTTTCCTAAATTTTACGGAGTCCCCTTTGACTCTACACCATAAATGTAAAGAACCCTCAAAAACGAAACGTCAATTTAGAAAAGTTTCGGCCACAAAAACGATATCCCCTTTACTTTTTATCCCAAAAACGATACCCAACTTGCTTATAAGGTACCTGTGTCGAGCCCTGTCCCTGTATAGTGCTTTTTGTAACGGCAGTTGATAAATGAGCCATGTGATGTCAAGAACAGAACAAATTTAAGCGTCACGGAACCAACTCAACCACGGAATAAAATAGATTTCACGAACGATACCAAGGGTTCCTTATAATACGCCGCAAAACGGCAGTTGCCGCAGCCTGCCGCAGAAATATGCATGTCCGTGCCGCCTCGGCTTGATTCATCGTTGTTCCTCTCCTGCCGCGTTCGTGTTTGTAGAGTACTCGTTTAGGGTTAGCAGTTTTTTCCTCTTTTACCTTGCTTCGTCATAGGTTCAATACTTCTTTATTCAGGTTGAATTTGGGTGCGTTCTCGATTTCACCAAATTGTCCCGCTTCAACAGTTCTCACTCCATGAATTCAATACGCTATGCTACCTTCACTACTCATAGTTTACTATATTTTTGCAGATCAACTTGTTGCTTCATCCATAGCAGTTTCTTCCATGCACAGGGGCTTTCAGTTCAATGTCAGTCACGGTCGGCGCAGTCTCGGGTCCAGCCGCCTCGCTTGGATCCTTCGCCGAGCCGCGCCGACTGTGGCAGTCAGATTGAAAACTTCTGTATTACAGAGTTATTTCATGGGAACCTGCAAAGGAACATAGATGAACCGCGAAGTTGAGGTTGCGGTGGTGGTGGTCGGTATCCATTCGGAGTCGATTCGGTACCGGCCGGGGTCTCCAGAGGCGGGACCGGACTCGTGCCACGGATCCTACCGAGATCCTCGCGAAAGTCTTCAAAAGCTTATTTCGCCACGGAAACATTGCGTTTTCAAACCTGGCATACTGTAACTAGTCCTACGCCCCGGAAACCCTTATCACACCTGGCATATTGTGATTAGTCCTACGCCCGGGAAAACCTGTATTTTCACACCTGGCATACTGTAGCTAGCCCTTAGTCGAGTTAGGTATACTTTAGTTACCCCGAATCAAGCTACAAAGCCCAATTTTAGTCCCCTAACTACTAATTTTAGCCCCCAATTTTAGTCGCCACCCAAACTACCCTTAGATACTCAATCCCACTCTAAGGTAACAGACACAAGTTCTGATAATGAATGAGACGAAAAAAAAGCACGATGATAACAGAAGCACTCGTTTTGCAGTGAGAAGTAGGTTGAAAGAGATTTAAATGAGATTAGACAAAAAAAAATTTCACATTCAAGAAATCGGTGTCATAACAACAACACAACAAGGGAATGATTAAAAAAATCAATGGAAAAGGACACAGAAGATATGAGGCATAAACATAGTTTGCGGGGGGTGATGGATCTTACCCCTTCACTTTGAGGCCGAACTCCCGATGACCCCCTTAACCTGGGGCTGAGATTGGTATTGTAAAAATGATAATCATTACTTAAAGGTTTTGGAGGCTGAGCTCCTCAAACAACGAGTACACTCATAGATTTACAAAAGAATCGGTATTTATGTTCATTCATATCACTTATTTATAAAAGAAGCATTTACAGAAGTACAAACTCTTTGCGAGCATCAATAAAGACGTCCTTAGGGTTAAAGTTCCATGAAAATTGATCAGTCTTATTTTAGTAATATAATCAATACTTCTTAGTATTAAAGTACTGCAATTTTTTGAAGAGATCGCGTCGCGGACCTCCATTTATAATGGTAAGTTCCCCAAATTCTAAGGGGACGTACTGCAAAAAACCTCTCCAAACATCCTCCTCATTATCGTTGAAAACGTAGAAATCTTCATCAGAATTTCTCATTTGTTCTGAAAAAGTTTACCATTTCTTCTATATGCATGCAAAATAAAACGAACCAGTTACGTATTAGGTTGTAAAGAAAGTTCCCGGGCACTTGCGAAAATTTTTTTCAAGTCGCTGTAACTTCAAGCAAATCGATTCTTTTTTGAAGCTACAAACTATTTTTCCACAACATATATGTGTCTTGCTGGCTTTTCAGCACCTCACTGCGGTCCATCAGCATGCACAGAAGGGAAAAAGGTCGTCGCGAAAAGTGGCCTATTTGTGCGGATTATCTCGGGCAGAATGAGAGCTGGAAAGCCCAAATGCAGTAGTTATAGAGAGTTCTGCTGGAGCTGTTATGGGGACCATTCAGGTTTTTGCAGGGCCGCCTGCAAAAATTTTTTTTCCAGAAAGTTCGAAAAATCGACCATTTTTTGCGCCCAAAAATGCACCATTTTTCGAGTAAGTGACTTTGTAGTCTTGTCGTTCTGCATAGGGTGGACCAAATTTTTGATTGCTGCGAACATTGTTGAGGTAATGCCTTACGTATCTTTTGGACCCATCATCCAGGCGTGCCGATCCTCGCAGAAGCGACGCCAGCTGTGAAAAGAGTTGTAGTCAGAGGCAAGTTTGTCAGCTTGTAATTTCTGAGCGTAAATCGCAAAACTCGAGTGCAGCTGCGGGTCAGATAACAGGCTTCTTAACCAGATCACCCATGATTTGTACGAAATTCTTTGAATTGCACAAGAAAATGGGCGCAGGAAGAAAAATTGTGAAATTTTTATGGCTGGAAAGATTTTACTCCTTGATGTGCAGATCAAACACGTCTTGGCATCGATAGAAATCAGAGGCCATATTGAAAACTTTAGGTTTCCCTCTACTGAACAGTATAAAAACTTGGTGTCAAAATCCGACCGAGCGCCGAAAAAATGCGTTTAAAAATGAAATTTCCAAAAGTGCCTGGGAACTGTCTTTACAACCTAATACTTTCCAGAAAATAATAATACAGTACTGGTGGCTATCCCGTCCAATGCGACTTCTATAAAATTTTTCTTTACCCTCGATCTGAGAAGTAAAGCAAGTATGATTTCTTCATTTTTATGTTCAGCCCCTCGAAGGCATCATCATGATAAAGGGTACGTGTTTTCTCATGAGCACAATATTCTTCACGAGACGCGTTATTTCCTAAATAAAAAAAAAAGTGAAAAAATAAGTCTAAGTCCACTTTCTCCTCAAGGGCTTTAGCAACGTGCTTGTTAGTGCTATTTCATAATTCCTCAAAAAACAGCATATTTATTTAGTTACTATTATAATAATCACTATTAGCTAGAAAATTGTGTAAGAGCATGACATTCTTGAAAACAAAGAGAACTAAGTGCATTGTTTATCAGCCATTCCACCACTAAAAGTATTTTACCAAAGGAAATTATGATGAGAGCCCAATTATGTGCCACTCAAAGGCTGCTATTTACATTTCGTACACTGCATGGATATCTCTTGCCATTCAGCGGCACCACTTTGATAACAACTGCGAGTAATAGTTGCAATAAGCACCAAGAGCGTGTCACTCAAATGTTAATTACATTATCACAGTGCATGCACATTTCCTGTCACTCAGCCGCACAACTATAACAAGTAGCAATAGGTGCGATTGTAGAGCAGAAACTGAGCACACAAAACCAGTTGATATATGAAGTACATAGAATCCCTCACAGAAGACCTAGGAAAAGTCGACGGTCTACGTTGATTTTCTATGATCTCAGCTTTCGAATGGTATAAAGCATGTTAGGGCTTTTTTGCTCGGCTCTAAAAAGCACTCAGATAATCGCTGCTCAGATAATCGCCGGGGGCAAGCGGCCATGCGAATTTTGAGCAAGCGGGCACCGGAAAAATAGTTCGCTGATTTTTTGTGGTCCGCTTGCAGAAATTTGGAATAATTTTGGCCAATTTTTAGACGAACGCTCGAAGATCTATTGCGGTTTTTCTATACATAGGTTGCGGCACAGTGGCCGCATTCCCGCGGATTTTCGGCCGCATTCCCGCGGATTTTCCGCGAGAACGTGCAAAATTATTGAGAGCCGCGCGGTCCTTTTTGAAGGACCGCACAGCCCTCAGGTACTTTCCGCTGGAGGAAAGTACCCCAAACTTGGGTAATAAAACCATCGATGGCACCTCTGCCACATAGAGTCTCATCTTTTCTCGGCGTACGCCCGAAACTGCGTAAAAAGAGTCTGAGCGCCTGCTGAAAGTTTGGCCAGCGCTCGTTGAAAGCGATTGTTTGACGAGCGCTTGCAGAAAATTTTGTATTGATGCCCGCTTGCAGAAAACGCAAATACCGCCCGCTGAAGATTTGGCCACGCCCCGAAATC